GGATAGGATATGGATTCTGACATCCAATATATTTACTCTTTCCCAGTCAGTGTTGTCAGGTTCAACATTCACAAACTAGTTGTGGAAGGCAAAATTCAAAGATGATTTGCACCCCCTGGAGTGACTTGCTTCTAACCAATAGAATATGGCAAAGGTGAAGGAATTTGCAGATGTAATGAAGGTCCCTAAGCAGCTAACTCTGAGTTAATCAAAAGAGAGCATATCCAGGGTTGGCTTGACCTAACCAGGAGAGCTCTATAAAAGAGACTTAAAGCAGAAGAGACTCTCCTGCTAGCCTTAAAGAAGCAGCCATATTGAGAACGACCTGTGGAAAAGGGTGGCCTCTAGGAGTTGAAAGCCTCAGTCCTCTGACCCCAAGGGCCTAAATACTGCCAACAACCTGAATGAGCTTGGAATAAGTCGTTGAGTCTCAGATGATACCACTGTCCCCACTAACTCCTTTATTGGAGAGAAGCCAAGGATCCATGAACACTGAAATAATAAACGTATGTTATTCTATGATGCTACGTTTGTGGTAATTTGTTATGCATCGTACAAAATGGATATACTTATCATCAGCATTACCATTCACGTCTTGAGTGTAAGAGAGTTGGACTTACAGGGAGAGGGCACCGTCTTTCAAAATTCCCTCCTCTACTCTTCATCTGTGGCTTCCATAGCATCCCTGATGCTCCTTGCCCATGCAGGTTAATGATCTTTTATTGGTAAGAGGTAGAAAACATCACCGCAGTGGACCACATATAAGTTTCTGAGCCAGAAGAAAACTGCCTCCTTGAAAACAGACACATTGAAAACCAGTACTGTTTGTGCTGTATATTATTGCAATACTTATTAACTGCTCTGCTGATTCATTCTATGACAAAGCATCTGAATCAGGCATTAGTAGATCATCTCTGTTATTGTCAGAGAGCCATTTGCCTCGGGATAAAGTATGTCTGTTAATATTCTGGGCACACTTGAGACTCTTGACTAAGAAGCCAACCCTGCCCTCTCATTAGTACTTTGTGGGTGTTAAGACCTTCATTAAGATTCCACTTCCTTTAATGTGGTCACCTTGGCATGTTTTCTGAATGACCTTAGTGACTTAGGGAGGATTGGTTTTTCCCAATAATAGGCAAGAATGTAGAAAGTAATTGGATTTGGCATACTTCATAGCATCTCATTGGATTTCTTATAGAAGAACTCTTAAAGAAAGGCTTTATTCAAATCAGAACAAAGAGGAAGATTTGGCTGGAGACGCTGATGAGCTTCTCTATGAGATTCAGTGACTAATGCTGCATGTCAATACCAGGCGTCCATGTATGTGGATGTTATGACACCAATGTGTGTAGACTCCTTAATGCTGAGGGAGGAGAGGAAGGCAAAATTTCCCCTTATACCCCTTTGCAGAAAGTTAGTAGGAATATAGAGAGAATCCAGGAGGCTGAATGGATTTCTATGTTGGTTTATGGACAAGTGAACAGAAAATTTCAGTTTCCGGGATGATTTTGGATTTCAGAGATGCCCTCAGGCAACAGCAGTGGACCTGACCTAGAGCAGGCGTTCTTAACCTCAGCACTGTTGACATTTGGGATAGAATAATTCATTGTTGTGTATGTGTTTGTGTGTGTGTGTACTGTCCCGTGCATTGTAAGATGTTCAGCAGCATCCCTGGCATCTACCCACTAGATGCCTCATTCTAGGCCCCCCACAAGTTGTAACAACCAAAAATATCTCCACACTTTGTCAAATGTCCCCTGGGGGCAAAATCACAGTTGAGAACCTCTACTCTAAATTAAGCAACCCATTTTTTTTGCCCAATGTCTGTTTCTTATGATGCTTTAATTTTCTCAACTCAGCTTAACCAAAATAGTTAACAACAGACATTGGGGGGAAAACAAAACAAAACAAAAACAGAACATTTGTTTTTATTTGTCTATGTGGATACATACAGAGACTACAATATGTAAAAATTAAGTATTGAAGGGTTTCCAGGACTGCATGTCTCCTCCTGAGCTTTGTTTTAAGTATGTGTATCCTTTGCCTGTATTTTTATTAAAAAATGAGAAAGAAAAAAATTTATTGCTGAGCATGTTGGTATTGTCTCCTTTATCTTTCTATTTCTTGAAGCAAGTTATTCTTTTTCTGTATTTTTCTTTTGTAAACTTTTTGTTTTGTTTAAAAATGGCTTTATTAAGAGCTTTTATAAACCTCTCCCCCCAAAAAATAAAAAGAATGTTTGCTTATTTTAGAGCAGTGGTTCTCAACTGTGATTCAGGAGTTTTTGTGTGGGTTTTTATTTTTCATTCTTATTTGAATATTACTTTGTGCAGTGACCAGGGAATTCACATCTACTACTACCAAAAGTTTAATAAAGTCACATTGAAAATCCAGAAGGATGTGGGCAACTCTAGTTTCCTGTTCTGATTTTTTGCTGTCTCTTTTCTAAAACCCACACTCCTATGGGGACCATCCTTATAATATTCAGTCTAATTCTAACCTTCATATACAAGAAATGTGATCAAGGGCATGGTTGCTCAAGAGTTGCCACCACACACAAAAAATTGAATTGAATTGTCATTGAATCAATTATTTTTGCCAATAATTGGAAAAAGCATCAGTTATCAACAAATAAAATGCTTACATAGAGAGAAGACTTAAAACTGAAAAGCAAGATCTGAAATGTCATCACTTTGCCCGTGGATATTCACTTAATTATTTGCTATGAGAGGTAATTTTCAATTCTTCAAAGCACTGTATGCATTCAAAAGGACATTGCTCTAGAGGAGGGTGAAGCACCATGTGCTAAATGAGGAAACCAACTTGGCTAAGCTAGCAAATGGAAGTAAGAGGTTGAATCCATTTACAGAACTTAGTTTCCTGCTGTTCATTCCATGTTACCCAAGCTTCCTGATAGCAATGAAATTATCTTCAAGAGAAAGACCAACACTTGGGAGAGAAATTGAGCACGGAAAATCAATAGTAAGTTTCAGTGGTTCCTGACCAGAACATTAAACTCCTTTTTATAGCACACAGAGAGCTAGATCCAAGTGACTCAGTCCTCTCTCCCTGGTTGGTGGGCAACATCACAGACAATATTAGATTTTGGTTTCTTAAAAACTCTGAAGATCACATAACTGAGAGGTTAGCTATTTTTTCAGTGGTGTCAATACTGCTTTGAGATTTTTGTCTTTGAGCTGGCATTTTAATTAGGTACTAATTTTTTCTGTGAACATAAAGATAAAAGGAATTATTTGGACTGTAGCCTTTTGAAAGCAGAACACTTTTCAATAACGTCAGAAAATACTGGCAGTGAAGGACAGAAATGATCCCCTGATCTTTTCTCATGAGATGTGCTTTGTATCTGATGTTGTTAAATATGAGAGAAATGAATGTAGTATAATTTGGAAAAGGTTTTATTTTAGTTAATCTTGTAAGAATGTGATCTTGATCTTTTTTCCCCTCAAAATTGCTGAAGATCGGTTATACAATGTGTACATATCTATATGTATATGATTCTATAGCAAAGGCTGGCAAAATATGGCCTAAGGGTCAAATATAGCCTGCTGTCTGTTTTTGTAAATTATTTTGAACACAGCTATATATTTTTATATGTTTATGTATTGTCTATGGTTGTTTTCATGCTACAAGGACAGAATTGAGTAATTCTGACAGACTGTATGCCCTTTACAGAAAAACATTTACTGAACCCTGTTCTACAGCCAGATCCTTCTACTTGGCATATGCTGGAATCAGAGAGAATAAATATTCATTTTTTAAAGCTTTGTAATTTTTTAAATATTTAAATTATGTAACAATTGATATATTTTGGGTTAGGGGGTTATTCTGTTTTCTTCTAATATTTTAATTGGATGCTTTGGCTATTTTGCTTATTTATTTATTTAATTACAGTAGACATTCAATATTATATTAGTTTCAAGTGTACAACATAGGGATTAAACATTTATATACTTTATGAAGTTATCACGTCAATAAGTCTAGTTAGTACCTACCTATGCTGTACTTTACATCCCCATAACTATTTTTATAACTGGCACTTTGTACTTCTTAATCCCCTTCACTTTTTCCACCCATCCTCCCCCACCCCACCCCCCACTTTCTGGCAACTATCAGTCTGTTCTCTGTATCTCTGAGTTTGTTTTTGTTTTGTTTGTTCATTTTTTCACTTTTTAGATTCCACATATAAGTGAAATCATGCTGTATTTTTATTTCTCAGTCTGACTTATTTTACTTAGCACGATACGTCTTGTTCCATCCATATCGTTGCAAATGGCAAGAGTTCATTCTTTTTTTTACTGCTGCATAATTTGTATTCATTAATCTATCAATGGACACTTAGGTTGCTTCCATATCCTGGCTATTGTAAATAACCACAATCAACATAGATGTACATATATCTTTTCAAATTAATGTTTTTGTTGTCCTCAGATAAATACCCAAAAGTGGAGTTGCTGTGTCATATGGTAGCTCTATTTTTAATTATTTGAGGAACCTCCACACTGCATCATTTTACAATCCCATCAACAGCACATGAGGGTTCCCTTTTCTCCACATTTTCACCAACATTTGTTATTTGTTGACTTTCAGATAAAAGCCTTTCTAACATGTGTGAGGTGATACCTCATTGTGGTTTTGATGTGCAGTTCTCTGGTGATTGGTGAAGTTGAGTATCTTTTCATATGTCTCTTGGCCATCTTTGGAGAAGTATGTCGTCTTTGGAGAAGTGTCTATTCAGGTCCTCTGGCCATTTTTTAACTGGATTGTTTCTTTTTTTGATGTAGGACTATATGAGCTCTTTATATATTTTGGTTATTAACCCTTACCAGGTATATCATTTGCAAATAGCTTCTCCCCTTCAGTAAGTTACCTTTTTGTTTTGTTGATGGCTTTCTTTGCACTGCAAAAGCTTTTTAGTTTTATAGTTTGATAAGAATAAATATATAAATAAAAATATAAATACATAAATATATAAAATTAACAAATAAGTATAATTTTCAATGTTTCACAAATTCATCCTTGTGCAGAGGCCATGCTAATCTTTTCTATATTGTTCCACTTTCAGTACATGTGCTGCCAAAGTGAGCACAAGAGAATAAATCTTCTTATAAAAATATCTACGTATGGAGCATATGCTATACAAAGAAGGTGCTTGTTGACATGGAGGTAATAATGTGAAAAAAAATATGAAGAAACTCAAGAAGAAAAGTTCATAATGTTATTAGAGGCCTCTAAAGAGATGGAGAGAAAAGCAATATTGAGTTGTCAACCTGAAATTAGTTAAAACTTTACCAAAATGCCTATGTAAATGAATATATCAGAAATTAAACAATTATTATGTAGTAGGCATTGTGCCAAGCCACAAAAGTTATAAGATGGATGATTTATGGACCTACCTCATGAAGAACTAATACATATTTTGTTGGATTTAATTTTCCAGAACTGTTGCTGGCTAAAGTGCTGATCAAATTATACCATTGAACTGGTACATTGTGCAAAGGCAAGGAAAAATGGTCAAAATTGAACTCCTCATCTTTCCCTTCAAACCTTTTTTTTCATGTCCTCTCGGTTTGAGGAGAGACATCACCACCCAGCTGACCAACTGGATTTTCAACTTCTCTGCTTTCTGTCTCATATGCTAGAATTTGCTTCCCACTTTGCTTCACCTGGCTCACTGAGGTACCATCTCCTCTCAGAGAATTCCCTGACCCCATCTTTTCTTTCCACACCAGCACAGTGCATACTCCTCATGCCAGGGCTCTTGCCATCATGTTTTAATGGTTTTCTTACCTGGGAGGAGGCAATGTCATATCATATAAAACTAAGAAATGATCATGTTTATATGGATGTGTTCAGAGGGTAAATCCAGGTCTTCCAGCTGCCCCAGGGTGGGTGTAGGGTGACCAGAGCAGAATGAGAGTCAGAGAGAAAGGAATGGGTCAAATTATGTAAAACTGTCCAGCCTTAAAAAGGAGTTTGGATTTTATTCTGAGTATGACAGGGTGAGCCATTGGAGGGTTAAGCAGGACAGTGATATGGTTTGATCTGGTTTTACAAAGTTATCTAAGGCTGCTCTGTGGAGAACAGACCAGGGGTCTGTAGGAAGAGAAAGTAGAAAAATGAACTTGGACAATGATATTGACAGTGGTGGCAGTGAGGAGTGGTCAGCTGCCATGATTCATTGAAGAATTGATAGTAGGAATGAGGAAAACAAAGAGACAAATTACGGATGACTCCAAGGGTTTGGTCTGAACAACTGGCTGTATGGAGTGGGTATGTACACATATACACCATACACACACACACACACACACACACACACACCCCCTATACATGTCATTGTGCCAACTTTCCTAAATGAAAACTATTTGTTAAAGAATTTAAACATTGCCCAGCTGGTGTGGCTCAGTGGTTGAGCATAGACCCATGCACCAAGAGGTCTCTGGTTCGACTCCCAGTCAGGGCACATACCCAGGTGTGGGCCAAATCCCCAGTGAAGGGTATATAGGAGGCAGCTAATCGATGTTTTCTCTCATCGATGTTTCTATCTCTCTCTCCCTCTCTTTTCCTTCCTCTAAAATCAATAAAGAAAAAAAATTGTTAAAAACAAACAAAAAAAATTTAAACAGCCCTGGCCGGTTTGGCTCAGCGGTAGAGCGTCAGCCCATGGACCAATGAGTCGCGGGTTCAATTCCAGTCAAGGGCACGTACCCTGGCCTTGGTTGGGGTCGTGCAGGATGCAGCCACTCGATGGGTCTCTCTCACATTGATGCTTCTCTCTCTCTCCCTTTCTCTCCCTTCTACTCTATCTGAAGATAAACAGAAAAATATTCCTAAGTGAGGATTTAAAAAAAAATTAAAGAATTTAAACAATATTGTACATAAATCCTCCAATAAAGGTAAAAGTTTCTTCAAGCCACTTGATGTTTATTTTATGAAATAAACGTGTCTAAAGAAAGTTGGCCCTTAGACCTTTCTTTTAATTTTATTTAATATCCTATCATAGATGAAGGAATGGAAACCCAGAGAGAGGCTCAGAGGCTCATCCTCGGTCACAGTGTGGATGTATGCCAGGACAAGCAGTAGAAACCTCTTCTTGTGTTTCCTTCACAAATTCAGGCATAAATCACCTTGCCTTTTATAAGAAGGACTATTTTCCTTTTGTATCTATTGAAAATAAAGTTCGGTGCCCAACATGAGAACTCAACTCTTGGAAAGTGTTTTAAAGTAGTGACTTAATAGTTTAAAATTTTTCTCAACGCTTATATGCATACTTTTTCAGATGTCCATGGCCCCAGGCCTGCTGAGGTCATGCATTCAATTTCACTTCCCCTCCACAAAGCAGGTAAAATCTAATCACACTTGTTTTTTTTAAAATTCCACTTTCTTATCTACTCTTAGTTATTCTGTATGGAAATAATCTACTGAAGCTAATGAACAAAATGAACAAGCAAAATAGAAGCAGACTCATAGGTACAGAAAAGAGACTGGCAGCTGTCAAAGGTGAAGGGGGTTGGGGGGCTGGGTGAAAAAGGTGAAGGGATTAAGAAAAAAACAACTCATAGACACAGATAACAGTATGGTGATTACCAAAGGGAAAGGGTGGTGGTGGTAGAAGAGGGTAAAGGGGGAATAAATGGTGATGGAAGGAGACTAGACTTGGGGCGGTGAACACACAATACAATATACAGCTAATGTATTATAGATTGTATACCCGAAACCTATATAATTTCATTAACCAATGTCACCCCAATAAATTCAATAAAAATTTTTAAAAAATTAAATCAAATTAATAAACTGAATTACTTTTAAATTGCATATATGAACTTTTCCTCTATGGAGTACCTTTCGCTGTAAGTTTATAACCTTCAGTGCACAGACAGAACAGAATGTACTTGAATATATTACATTTTCTTTCCTCAGAGATGAAAGAAGAAAGAAAGTTTAACTATGAGGGGTTTTTGTGTGTGCGCGTGTGCTAAAGTGAGTATAATGTAGTCTTATTAATAATTTTTTTCCTTGTCACTCAGCACATCTTTTGATACTGAATAATCTTTTATGGTACTTTTCTTTTCATGAATTTATAATATTACTGTATTCTTTAATGTAAAGTTTATTAATTGTGTAACAGGTTAGAAAATTCTACCTCTATAATGTTTCTTAGCATGAATAAAAGCTCAGTGATTCAAGTAATACATTGCAAAATGGCAGGTGATGGTGAGGTTAATTTTAAAAATCTTCAAGATTCTTTCTACTTGAAGACACTATGAATCTCATCTCTATGACATTTGGGTTATCCTTCTCAGCTAGATTAAATATTATTTGGCACTAAAATTGAAATGTCATGTCCTTATATCTTTAATTGTGGCCATTAGGGGATGCTCTCCCCAATTAATACAATTCTTATTGCACTGAATTAAAGTTGAGTATTCCATTCTTATTTCTCTAGGATTTAGGGGAGCTAATTGAGTGAGTTTTGGTAGAGAGATAAAGAACTGTACCAAATTCACAATCTTGTAATGTTACTTTCCACACAGTGCCAAAATGATGTTCTTAGGTGTGTTGACCTACTAAAAATGCAAATGAAAAATACAATGATCTGTAGTTTTAGTGCATTGACTAGAACCTGGAGTTTTCTAATGGGACACATGAGATCCTAATCCTAAATATGGATGAATCAGCTGTTCCTGCGAGCTAAAAGAAATCAGGAGACACAGAGGGGGATGAAATCTGTGAACCTAGAGGGTCAGAACCAGTTAGATAAAGAAGCACAACTTGGATCCCCTTCTGCAGGGCATGGTGACTAAGAGAAGACTCTAGCCATCTCTGATTTATAAGCCACATTTGATAATTTAGGCAGCTGTGATATTTATTATTTTGAGTATCCAATCCTTGGCTCTGCCATACATATGCTACTCACTTCTCCACCCCAAATTGGCCATTCTAATAAAGAACTCAGTTACCCCCCCCAAAACCTTATCCAACATACAAAAATATATATAAGTAAATTTTCTTCAATTCTAAAAGAGGGAGATAAATGTTCCATGTTAGCTATCTTTTCTTCTAAGATTTCTTCTCTTATAAATTAGCCAGTAGTCACAGTCCAAACTTCAACCCCCATTGATCTTAAACAAAGATAATCATTTTTATTCCTAAATCACCAACAAGTAATTTCTGAGGTAAAACCATTTAATAATAAGAAGCACCTGTTTTGGTTATTTGGAATTTTTTCAGATTGTTTATTCCTCTGAGCACTGATACCTACTCATATTTCACGTCCTTACTTTAATAGTCTAATTTATCTTTGACATTAATTATGAAATCCTTAGCCTATAGCACCATCCAGCCCACTCCTTGGCCCCCTCCTCCAACATCCTTGTGCTCAGTTTTTGTCAACATTTCTCTCAGATCAGGCTGCCATTTGGATTCTAGAGATAGGACTACAGGATAGGAATAAAGGGTCAGCATTTGCATCTGTTTGGGGATAGGCTCAGAGGAGGCAATTTACCATTATCCTATCTTTATATTAAAATATGCTATCATGACCTCTGATTTTATACACAACTCCTATCCCTCTGCCATTTCCCTTGTAACTTCAGTCCAACCACACGTTTGCAGTTCACTCCATGCTCAGTCTCCCTTTACTTGGGCCTTATTCTTTTTATAACCCAAACAATCAATAATATTTTTCAAAAATGATTGCACATTCATATATGAAAGACTTACAGCCAACATCATACTCAATGGGCAAAAACTAAAAGCATTTCCCTTAAGAACAGGAACAAGGCAAGGATGCCCACTTTTGCCACTCTTATTTAACATAGTACCGGAAGTCTTAGTCACAGAAATCAGACAGGAAGAAAAAATAAAAGGGATCCAAATTGAAAAGGAGGAAGTGAAACTGTCATTATTCACAGATGGCATGACACTATACGTAGAAAACCCCAAAGACTCCATCAAAAATTTACTAAACTTAATAAATGAATTTGGAAAAGTACCAGGATACAAAATTAACGTCAAGAAATTGATGGCATTCTTATACACCAATGATGAATTCACAAAAAGAGAAATTAAGAAAAAAATCCCATTTACCATTGCAGCAAAAAAATTAAGATACCTAGGAATAAACTTAACCAAAGAAGTAAAGGACCTATTTGCAGAAAACTACAGGTCATTGAAAAAAGAAATAGAGGAAGATATAAAAAAGTGGAAGCACATACCCTGTTCATGGATTGGAAGAATTAACATCTTTAAAATGTCCATACTACCCAAAGCAATCTATAGATTCAATGCAATCCCCATCAAAATACCAACAGCATACTTCACAGAATTAGAACAAATACTTCAAAAGTTCATATGGAACTAAAAAAAAGACCTCCAATAGCCACAGCAATCTTGAAAAAGAAGAACAAAGTTAGAGGGATCACATTACCAGATTTCAGGTTATACTTCAAAGTCACTGTAATAAAAAAAAAAAAAGCCTGATACTGGCACAAGGACAGGCATATAGATCAGTGGAACAGAACTGAGAACCCAGAAATGGACCCAAGGCAATACGCTCAATTAATATTTGACAAAGGTGGCAAGAGCATACAGTGGAGTAAGGACAGCCTCTTTGATAAATGGTGCTGGGAAAATTGGACAGCTACATGCAGAAAAATGAAACTAGACCATCAACTTATCCCCTATACAAGAATAAACTCAAAATGGATAAAATACTTAAATGTGACTCATGAATCCATAAAATTCCTAGAAGAAACTGTAGGCAACAAAATTTCAGACATCATACGCAACAGAATCTTCACTGATACATCACCTAAGGCAACAGAAACAAAAGAGAAAATGAACACGTGGGTCGACATCAAACTCAAAAGCTTCTGCACAGCAAAAGATACAATCATCAAAACGGAAAAGCTACCCACTGTATGGGAGAGCATAATTACCAATGATATATCAGATAAGGGGTTAATTTCCAATATATGTAGAGTGCTCATACAACTCAACAAAAGGAAGACAAAGAACCTTGTCAAAAACTGGGCAGAGGAACTAAATAGACACCTCTCCAAACAAGACATACAAATGGCTAAGAGACATATGAAGAAATGCTCAACATCACTATTCATCAGAGAGATGCAAATTAAAACAACAATGAGGTATCACCTCACACCTGTCAAAATGGTTGCCATCAACAAATCATCAAACAAGAAGTGTTGGCAAGGGTGTGCAGAAAAGGGGACTCTAGTACACTGCTGGTGGGAATGCAGACTGGTGCAGCCACTATGGAAAACAATATGATGTTACCTCAAAAAATTAAAAATTGAACATCCATTTGACCCAGTGATCCCACTTCTAGGGATATACCCTAAGAAGCCTGAAACACCATTCAGAAAGAATATATGTACCCCCATGTTTGTAGCATCACTATTTACAATAGCTAAGATCTGGAAACAGCCCAAGTGTCCATCAGTAGACAAACGGATAAAAAAGCAGTGGTACATATACAGAATGGAGTACTATGCAGCTGTAAGAAAGAAAGATCTCTTATTCTTTGAGACTATATGGAGGGGCCTGGAATGTATTATCCTAAGCAAAACAAGCCAAGCAGAAAAAGACAAATACCACATGATCTCACTTATATATGGAATATAATGAACATAACTGTCTGAGGAATGGGGTAGTCCCAGACATGTGGAAGTTGGGTACAGACTGACAATCTCCAGAAGAGGGGGTGGTGGGGGAGAGATAAACCACAGAACTTATATGCATGTATGCATGAACAATGGACATGGACAACAAAGCTGGGGACTGGGCAGGGAGGGGGAGGGGGGAATCATTGGGGAGAAAAGGAGAAACATCTGTGACAAAAATAAATAAATTAATTTAAAAATGATTGCATATTTAAAATAATATGAGTTTTGTGACAATACTGCATTGTTAATTTCTCTCTGACTTGATGGAAACATGGGAAACATTTTAGGTTTTAAAAAAATCTTTCTAACTAATTTGCCAAATGGTATTTGATCCTAATAACTAATAAAGATTTTTATGGTTTTGATTAGCCATAAGGATACTTAATATTATTTCAAATCAGTCCTAAAATATAGTGAAAGTACTTGATCTGATGGTCACCATAAGTTTTGTCTGTGTGTCCACTTAGAATTTATGAATATCCAGGCAGCTGCTTGGCTACTTCAAAGCACTTCTAGAGATCTGGTAAATGGAACATGGGAACCAGAGGCCAAGTGAAGGTCACGAAGATAATGTCCGATTTCCAATCTTAGAAATAAAAGGGAAAGCACAAGTGGGAGAAAGTCAAAGGTCTCTTTCCCAACCCTCAGCAAGAGGATGAAATGAGTGACACCTAGGACTGGTGGAGCTGGATTCCCTGTAAAAGTTCCTTGTTGAAACTGCTATTAGACCCAGTGATCCTGCTTCTAGGAATATATCCCAAGAATTCAGAAACACCTACCAGAAAGAATATGTGCACCCCTGTGTTCATAGCAGTGTTATTTACAATAGCTAAGATCTGGAAACAGACGTTACCTTTAAGCAGTTCTCACACAAACAGATTTCTTTTAAATTAATTAACTTATTTTTGTTACAGATGTTTCTCCTTTTTGCCCCATTGATTCCCCCTCCTCTTCCCTCCCCGCCCTGTCCTCAGCTTTGTTGTCCATGTCCATTGTTCATGCACACATGCATATAAGTTCTGTGGTTTATCTGTTCCCCATCACCTCCTCTTCTGGGGATTGTCAGTCTGTACCCCACCTCCATGTCTCTGGGACTACCCCATTCCTCAGACTGTTATGTTCATTATATTCCACAAATAAGTGAGAACATATGATACCTGTCTTTCTCTGTTTGGCTTGTTTCGCTTAAGATAATACTTTCCAGATCCCTCCATGTAGTCTCAAAGAATAAGAGATCTTTCTTTCTTACAGCTGCATAGTACTCCATAAACAGACAGTTTTCAATGGACAATTTTCAGAAGACTATCTTCATAATAGTAATTTTTCATGAATCACTAAGAGTTACATCTTACAATTCCATTAAAGCTCAAACTGAATGCCTGTTCTGTCTAAAATGAGAATTCATAGTGCAATTGCAATTGGGGTGCTAGTGCAGTTCACAGGGCACAGTAGAATGCAATTTCACCTTCATGCATTCCAGAAATCATCTCACACCATTGTAAATAATTCCCAGCCATGCTTTGCTGTAGTAATTCTCATGCATTACTAGAAAACATCCAGAATCTGTTCAAAGCAAAACAAAACTGAAAAATTATTAAGTTCTAATCCACAAACATTTATACTCAATTCCATTTTTGTATAGGCACAAGGTGTGAAAATTATTTGAATAGAATAAATGTCTCATGTCAAAGTTCTATATCTTCATCCCTAAGCAACATTCATGTTGTTGGACAGTTTTACCTCGGTTAGAAAGTAGGTTTGTTACCCATTCGAGAAATTGCGGTCTTATATCTTTTCCCTTGATGTCCCCCTTTTCCTCCCCTCATTTTCAGCTGATAACATCTCATACTTGAGAAAAATAAAGTCACTAGACAGAAAACCATCTTTTCTATATTTTTCATATTTCACCCTGCTGCAATGGAAGTTGTATGCCTTCTTCTACTAAAAGTGTTCTTGCTACGTCCCCAAGGACTCTGCTTCTGCCATTATCCTTTCTATTTCCTATATCACTTTTTTTTTCTCTACTGGATTTCTACTGTAAGCATACAAACCCACTCTAGTATCCCCAATTTGCTATGTCTCCCTTTACTCCTCATTCCCAGAATTTTTGTTGTAAGAGTTATCTCTGTGTGCTGTTTTCACTTCCTTACCTCCCATTCTCTCCTCAGCTTACTCCAAACTGGCTTCCAAACCCATCACCCCACAGAAAGTGCTATTGTCAATGTCACCATTGGTCATAACTTATTAAATCTAGTCATTACTGTTTGGTCTTCATTTTACTAGATCTCTCAATTGCATTTTAAAGAGTTGACTACTGCTCTATTGTGGCAATACTTACTCTTTTGGCTTCTATGAAGTGACTGCAATGATTCTCAAAGTGTAGTCCCTGGACCATGAGCAACAGCATCATTTGAGAACTTGTTAGAAATGAAAATTCTTGAACCTAACCCAGATAAATTGAATTAGAAACTCTGGGTGTGGGGCCCAGCAGTCTGTGTTTTAACAAGCCTTCTAGGTGACAAAGTTTGAGAACCGCTGCTCTATTGATTTTCCTCCTACCTCAATTGTAGTTTCTTCTTTTTCTTTCTTCATTACTTTTTACGTTTTATTGATGGTGACATATAGTAAAAATCTAATACATATTAACTACCCATGGTCCCTTATAAATATTTAAAGTTCTTTTTCACAAGCATAATCACAGTGCAGTCGTACTACAAACTAAACTTTTAGAAGACAATTTAAAAAATAAAATATATTAAAGATATTATAATTAATGATGATATGTCAAGATGGATTTTAACTCTGACTTTAAACATTATTACAATCAGTGTAGACCTTTACCAAGAAGTTGATAATTGTGAGGAGCTCTTCTGAGTATTTAGTTTTCATATAATGGCCAGATTAGCATACCTATGTTCTTATAAAGCTCATTCAGAGTCAGTAAATGCAAGCAGATTATAAAGTATTTTTAGACAGACAAATATCTTTTTAAAAATTTAATGTATCAATTTGCTTTAAGATGTATTCCTTGAATTGACAATTGTTGAGGTTTCCAAATACTATCTTTTCATTTCTTCACAGCTTGGATCTGATCTTGAAGCCAGTCTACACTTTCTTGCAATCCTTCTCCGATTAGGCCATCACTAGCACAAATATGCCATGGCTTATCTTTAATTTTCTCTAAACACAGCAACTGAGATATTTTCAAAGGTGTCACTGCATCTCTACAATCCATTTTGTTTGCAAAGAATAATATTGGTATTCGGCGGTGCTTAATGTCTGGATGATTCAGAAGAATATCAAGTTCTTCTTTGGCCATAAGCATTCCTAATCGATCACTGCTATCAATGACAAAAAGAATGGCTTGTCCATCTTTATAATAGCGTTCCCAGAGATTTCTGTGTTTTCCTTGACTTGACATGTCAAACACTAAAAAATTCAAACTACATGATTTGAATTTTTCTATGCTGAATCCTGTAATTGGAAATATATATTCAGATTGAGCATTTAAAGGTTTAAGTTTGTTAATGATTGATGTTTTGCCACTATTACCTAGTCCAAGGCACAAAACATGAACCTCCTTCTTTAGGCCAAGAAGCCTTGAAAGACTGTCTAGCAATCTCATAATATGATTTAAATATTTACAAACCAGCTGGTCTTTGAAGTTAGTTCTGTGGGCTCAGGAGCTGGTAAAGAACAGGAATGGACTCATTCGTGCATACCCATCTCTGTGATGGGAATTAGTTCGAGCGTCTCAGCCTTTTTCTCTCTAAGACTCCACAGGAAGGATCAATGGTCCACAAAGCCACTTCTACAAGTTGAGTGACCTGGTAGCCTCTGTCTCAGCCAGAGCAGGTGTCTAAGCCTGTGGTGTTCCCCTGGCTACCAGAGATTCTTCCTCTGAGGTCATAGAGAGTCAGCAGCCATCCTCTTGCTTCTCTGGCAAGTTCCCAAAAATGCCAGAGGCACTCGTTGGAGTATTAAAGTAGGTATAAGAACTGCCCTGGCTGCTTTGGCTCAGAGGTTGGAACGTCGGCCTGCAGTCCCAAGAGACCCGGGTTCAGTTCTCGCTAAGGGCACGTACCTCGGTTGCAGTTTGTCCCCGGCCCTGGTTTGGGTCGTGCGGGTGGCAGCCACTCGATGTGTCCCTTTCACATCGATGTTTCTCTCTCTCTTCCTCTCTTTCCCTTCCACTCTATCTGAACAACAACAACAAAAAAATGGAAAAATGTCCTCGGGTGAGGATAAAAAAAAAGAAGAACAGGTGACATGGTCTATAGTTCCTTCTTAGTTCTTATTATTATTTGGCTTCTATCAGTTAGCTTTTGCTACAAACTAACATACTCCAAAACTTAGTAGCTTAAAACTGCCACAATACATTTGCCTTATAAATATTTTTCCCAATTGCTTTGTATATTTTCTTTGTTTTTATAATTTTATTTTTGTTACAGATGTTCCTCCTTTTTTATCCCATTGGAATCCTCCTCCCCCTCTCCCTGCCCCCACCTCATCCCCGGCTTTGTTGTCCATGTCCATTGATTATGCATACATGCATATAAGTTCTGTGGTTTATCTTTTCACACCCCCAACACCCGCTCTTCTGAGGGATGTCAGTCTGTGCCCTACTTCCATGTTTCTGGGTCTACTGTATTCCTCAGAGAGTAATGTTCATTATATTCCGTATATAAGTGAGATCATGTGGTATTTGTCTTTTTCTGCTTGGCTTCTTTCACTTAGGATTATACATTCCAGGTCCCTCCATGTTGTCTCAAAGGATAAGAGATCTTTCTTTCTTATACCTGCATAGTACTCCATCGTGTATATGTACCACTGCTTTTTTATCCATTCGTCTACTGATGGATACTTGGGCTGTTTCCAGATCTTAGCTATTATAAATAGTGCTGCTATGAACATGGGGGTACATATATTCTTTCTGATTGGTGTTTCAGGTTTCTTAGGGTATATTCCTAGAAGCAGGATCACTGGGTCAAATGGAATTTCAATTTTTAATTTTTTGAGGTAACACCATAATGTTTTCATAGTGGCTGCACCAGTCTGCATTCCCACCAGCAGTGTACTAGAGTCCCCTTTTCTGCACACCCTCGCCAACACTTGTTGTTTGATGATTTGTTGATGGCGGCCATTCTGACAGGTGTGAGGTGATACCTCATTGTTGTTTTAATCTGCATCTCTCTGATGATTAGTTATGTTGAGCATTTCTTCATATGTCTCTTGGCCATTTGTGTGTCCTGTTTGGAGAGGTGTCTATTCAGCTCCTCTGCCCATTTTTTAATTGGGTTCTTTGTCTTCCTTTTGTTGCGTTGTATAAGTACTCTATATATTTTGGATATTAACCCCTTATCTGATGTATCATTGGAAATGATGTTCTCCCATACAGTGGGTTGCCTTTTCATTTTGATGATTGTTTCTTTTGCTGTGCAGAAGCCTTTGAATTTGATGTAGTCCCATATGTTCATTTTCTCTTTTGTTTCTATTGCCTTAGGTAATGTATCAGTGAATATTCTGCTGCGTATGATGTCCGAAATTTTTATGCCTACATTTTCTTCTAGAATATTTATGGATTCACGGGTCACATTTAAGTCTTTTATCTATTTTGAGTTTATTTTTGTGTAGGGTGTAAGTTGATGGTCTAGTTTCATTTTTTTTTTTTTTTTTTGCATGTAGCTGTCCAATTTTCCCAACACCATTTATTAAAAAGGCTGTCTTTATTCCACTGTATGCTCTTGCCACCTTTGTCAAATATTAATTGAGCATATTGCCTTGGGTCCATTTCTGGGTTCTTGATTCTGTTCCACTGGTCTATATGCCTGTTCTTGTGCCAGTACCAGGCTGTTTTAATTAGAGTCACTTTGTAGTATAACCTGATATCTGGTATCGTGATCCCAACTGCTTTGTCCCTTTTCAAAATTGCTGTGTCTATTCGGGGACTTTTTTGGTTCCATATGAACTTTTGAAGTATTTGTTCTAGTTCTGTGAAATATGTCGTTGGTATTTTGATGGGGATTGCATTGAATCTATAGATTGCTTTGGGTAGTATGGACATTTTAATTATGTTAATTCTTCCAATCCATGAACAAGGTATGTGCTTCCACTTTTTATATCTTCCTCTAATTCTTTTTCAATGTCCTGTAGTTTTCTGCAAATAGGTCCTTTACGTCTTTGGTTAAGTTTATTTCTAGGTATCTTAATTTTTTTGCCACAATGGTAAATGGGATTTTTTTTCAGTTTCTTTTTCTGTGAGTTCATCACTGGTGTGTAAGAACGCCGTCGATTTCTTGACGTTAATTTTGTATCCTGCTACTTTGCCAAATTCATTTATTAAGTCTAGTAGATTTTTTCTGGAGTCTTTAGGGTTTTCTATGTATCATATCATGTCATCTGCAAATAATGATAGTTTCACTTCCTCCTTTCCAATTTGGATCCGTTTTATTTTTTCTTCCTGTCTGATTGCTGTTTCTAAGACTTCCAGTACTATGTTAAATAAGAGTGGTGAAAGTAGGCATCCCTGTCTTGTTCCTGTTCTTAACGGAAACATTTTTAGTTTCTGTCCATTGAGTATGATGTTGGCTGTAGGTCTTTCATATATGGCCTTTATTATGTCGAGATATGACCCCTCTATTCCCACATTGCTGAATGTTTTTATCAAAAATGGATGCTGGATTTTGTCGAATTCTTCTTCAGCATCTATTGAAATGATCATGTGGTTTTTATTCTTCATTTTGTTTATGTGGTGTATCACATTTATTGATTTGCAAATATTGTACCACCCTTGCATCCCTGGCATGAATCCCAATGGCTCATGGTGAATAATTTCTTTGATGTATTGCTGGATCTGATTTGCTAATATTTTGTTCAGGATTTTGGCGTCTACGTTCAGCAGGGATATGGGCCTGTAGTTTTCTTTCTTTGTAGTGTCTTTTTCTGGTTTTGGAGTTAGAATTATGCTGGCCTCATAAAATGAGTTTGGAAGTCTTCTTTCTTCTTGAATTTTTTGAAATAGTTTGAGGAGAATGGGTGTTAGTTCTTCTTTGAATGTTCAGTAAAATTCCCCCATGAAGCTGTCCGGGCCTGGGCTTTTGTTTGCTGGGAGGGGAACAACTTTTGATTTTTCATCTTAAGGATGCTGATGGTGCAATGAGGAAAAGAAACTTTTCCTCTTCTTGCCACTTTGGAACACATTTTTTTCTGTTAAATAGCATTTTTTTTTTTTACATTTTGTCTTTTTATTATTAGAACTTATCTTTCAGAAAATAATTTTTTAGGCTTTTTGATTTAAAATAATACAATAACTTCTCATAAATTGCTATAGTAACAAAACAATCTAGTTCACCTTTGTGAGTTTTGTATTTGTCCTTGTTCATTTTTATCCATTTATATTTTACACATTCAGTTCTTCAGAATGCATATGAAATTTGAATATCTGCCCTTTCACCGAACTTTCACCATGAAATTTTAAATAATATATAGTTAATATGCAGATCTATAGTGAACATTTTTTAATCCCTGTTGTTAGACATTTTCGATGTTCATAAATTTTGCTGTTCTAGATATGTTTTGTAGAAGCCCTTAAATATCTGGAGCCAACCTAGATAAAAGGAAAGCTTGGATCCAGCATTCTTGATATTCCTATTGAACTAACCCTACTCTTCACCTACATCTTTCCTCTAAATATTTTAGATAATGTTTTTTACCTATTTGTGGTCACCCATAGTCATTTTATACAAGCCATTGCTACAGATTGTGGCCATGGTAATATATTTATATTTAGCATTGGTTTTCAAATTGGGCTTTGACGACTTTTCCAAAGGCTTTCACTAAAAGGAGTGGGGTGAATGGTTGAGGCTCTGAATCCCTATTTCAGCTCCAACCAGAGCATTTCTATGTTATAATGGTCCAGTATTAAATAAAAGTTTGAATGCAACTGAATCATTCATGTTCACTGCACTGGCAAGTGCACACAGGTGGGCATTACTGAAGTGTTTGAGTATTCAAAGACCGTGGCAGTATAAAATGGTGTAACCACTTTGGAAAGAAGTTCAAGAGTTCCTCTAACAGTTTAACATAAGTTACCATATGATTCAGCAATTCCACTTCTAGGTGTATACAAGAGAAATGAAAACATACATCCACACAAAAAGACTTGTACATGAATGTTCATAGCAGCATTATTTATAATAACTAAAAAGTGGAAACAACCCAAATATCTATTATCTGATGAATGGATAAATAAATATGGTATATGCATAGAATAGAATATTATTCAGCAATAAAAAGAAATAAAGTGCTGATACAGGCTACAACATGGATGAACCTTGACGACATTATGCTAAGTCAAAGAAGCCAGGCATAAAATATCACATCTTATATGATTACATTGATAGGAAATGTCCAGAATAGGCAAATCCATAGAAATGCACAGTAAATTAGTGGTTTCTTAGAATTTGGCAGGGAGGGGTGTTGTGGAATGAGGAGGGAGAGCTAATGGGTTGCAGAATTCTTCTAGTGGCAAAGAAAATATTTTAAAGTGAAATGTGGTAATGGTTGCACAACCCTAAAAATACTGAACTATACACCTGACATATGTGACTTGTACATATGTGAATT